CCCCAAAACCCCAAAACCCCAAAACCCCGGGTATTAGAGGAATTATTGAAGGACTTATACGAATTCTTTGTAGCTGAATGACTCGAATGAAAACTTTGTGAATTTTAGCTTTTGGAGATAGTATTTTGACTTCAGGTCTTGGATTTTGGACTTTGAGGTGGTCTCGAAAAAGCGAATCTCAGAAAGGCAGGTTATGAGAGTGGTTTCAGAGACGAATCTGAGGATACTTTCCAAGGTGTCTCCTTGTTCAATCTTTGATCCTTGGGTGTCATTGCAGTTGTATAGAAATAGAACTTTTAGTGCTGCTTTCTTTCCAAGTAAGCAGGTAGAGTCTATTCTTTCAATTATTCAGCCATAAAATGCAATTATATTTACTCTTCAACATCTTTTTACCAATTTTATGAACATTCTGTCTGTGATGTGCATTTCTAAAATAAAATAGAAGCAGAAACTGTACCATGAAGGCTTCAATTTATGTTCTCTGTTGGGAAAAGAGTCAGACAAGTTCTCACTATTGAATAATTGATATTTCCACCATGATCAGAGTCTCAACGAATAGTAATATCCTTGACATTTTTATTCTTCATATTATGAATAATTTTGTCAATTCTCTTGTTTTTAATTCCAGTGGCTCTGATTTGAACGTATATCTCAAAATCTTTTGCAAATGAAATCTTTGCAAAATCCTTTGCTACTTTATCTCCATTTGTCTAAAACAAATCAAGGGTAAGCTATAAAGGTAATACAGTAAACTTTCATATAAATCTTCGCTACTTAAATTTTAAACCTAATCTTGATACACTCCAAACCTTAGCTTCACCAAATCTTGCGATAAATACTCTAATAATTTATTCTCTGTGCCTCACATGTAAAGGTACGAATCTCAATCCCCAGGTCATGCTTACCAATTCTATTGAAAGATTATCAGGTTCAATATTAAATGCGTAGAATCCGACAGGGATTCTGGCTGTAAATATACTGGAAAAGACTCGTTTTAGTAGAACTTGTTCCTGGTGGATTAGTCGGGATTCGTGGGTAGTGGAGGATTTCTTGTGGGATAGGGGTTTCATGTTTTTTTGTTGGTATAAATTTTTATTTTTGGTTGGGGTTTTGGGGTTTTGGGGTTTTGGGG